AGATAAACCTAAAAATAAGGAATAACATTTATCACACAATTTAATAAAAAAGATAATAAAAAAAGCTGATGTAGATAATCAGGTCCTAACCCAAAAAGTGGACTAAACCTGATAATGAGTCACAAAATTGAACTTATATCAACTTTACTCAATGCAGTATGGTAGCACGCAAAAGAATTAATTGTGGCTATAAATAAAGAAACAAATGCAAACCAAATTATAGTTAAGCATGTGCTAATCTAAAACTACATTAATGAAACCCTCTTTGTCAACCAAAAGATGGTGAAAATACATCTTTGTTTTCTATCACAACAAAAAAATTAAGGACAGTAACGAAATTTCACAGATCAAAATTTTGTTTTTTTAAACCTCACCTACATGTAAGTTTATCATCTCTAATTTAAAAAAAAATTAAAAAAACCTCTCTTCCTCTCTCCCTCCCTTCTCACTCTCACGTTCTCTCTCCTTCAATTTTAACAACCAAAGTAAAAAATTTCACACTTTATGTGTGGGCATATACTAGTATTCTCTTAAACTACATATAAAAAGATTAAGAGATTAATCTGTTGGTGTGAGTTGAAGATTTTCCTATTTTGAGCCATCTTTCACACAAAAAATTGTTAAAGCAAATGGAAGGGGAGTGTTAATTAGGTTCAATGAATAATTTGACTCATTAAGTCTTATACATAGGTTCATTGGCCCTTCTACACTATTCATTGTATGAAGAGTAAATGGTGTGTATCTGTATTTTAATCCATGTATTTGTGTTTTCTATATATTTGTACATTTGAGGATGAATGAAATAAAAAATAATTAAACCCAAAATTAGCATAATCATCAAGAAAAATGAAGTCAGTGGCAGCAATCATCTTTGCGTTGTTTTGTTTCCTCTGCATGGCTGACCATCAAATGGGCAAAATCAAATTAGCGGAAGCGAACAGCAGTCGGATGCCATTAATGTTCAGCACCAAACATGCTTCTTTAGCTCCTGCTCCTGATGTTCATATCGATCCTACGTGTTTATTATAATTTACTCACAATTTAGGGTTTAGGGTTTCAAATATTTTTTTTTCTTTTCAATTATTGGTAATTAATTACATTTTACTTTCTTTATTTTGATTGGAAGCATGGACTAATATTGGTTGCGATTGTACGTCAATCTGCAGCTTGCCACAGGCAGTGTAACGAAAACGAGGTTTGCTGCGATTGCGACCGTAGCAAAGTTCCACCCTTCTGCCTACAGTCCTGCCATCGGAGGCACTGATTAAACACATATGAAAAACATATTGGATTCTGATCCAATATATTCCTAGCTACCCCTTCAATTTTCAATTTCAATAATATTGTTTCTTGTTAACGAATGTGAAATTTTAATGAATAAAAGTGTTCCTTGGATCTTAGTTAATTGCAAATTTACTCTGAGCCAAGTGGTTGTTTATCTTAAATTTTTTTGTCGCAGATATGTCTTAAACTTGTAAGTGAAAGAATCACAAGTTACATTAGTGGTGGGTCCGACTCAATCTAATTAGCTTTTTTCGGTCAGGGTTCGAAGAGAAACAAAGGTTAACAATCTTAGTTGTAGCGTGTGACACAAATTTTATGATGCGCATTACTGAGTCTATTGTAATAAGTTGCACAACCGTATTAGATGGACACCGTAAATTCTGTTTATCCTAGCTGCAAATATACACGGTTTCTAATTGTTTCATTTATCTTGAGGAAGACATGCTAGCCATCATCAGAGCCCCCTCTGATGGTGTGCAGGTGGTGCCACTGCACATGGTCCCTAGTTCGGTAGGTCCTTTGGTTTACAGTTTTACTTTACCTATATATAAAGTGTGTGTGTATATATATATATATATAGTTAATGCTCGTTTAAGAAGTGTTTTTAAATAACTGAAAGCGTGTTTAGAAAAACTACTTTTGAAACAAATTCTTTGTAAAAATGCAAGTTTCCCTTGCAGAAGCACTTAAAGTGCTTCTTCAAACTTCTTGCAAGAAGCACTAAGTGCTTTTGAAACACAAAAACATTTTTTTTTCTAAAAGTGCTTTTAATTATTTAAAAGCACTTCCCAAACGAGTCTTTAAAGGTCGAATAATCAAGTTAAGCTCTTAGCCTAAGTGTTATCTAGCTTCTTATCTCTGTCCAACTGGATTCGATTACTTTTTTTTTTTTTTTTGGTATTTAAAAGTAAGGAACTTCGAATCCAAAAACATAGAGGACACGGCTAGATAGTCACCACATCATGCATCGTTTTTATTTATTTTCTATTACATTATATCAATTTATACACAATAATAAAAATATAAAATATAAAAGAAAATACATCAATCAAAATTTTAAATTTTCTAAGGACTTCTGTTTGAGTCTTGCACAAATTTCTAAAATCTCAAGACCGGCCTTGACCATCATGGATAACTTCAAAAAGTTCAATGACCAGTTCACGGATCAATACTAAGATCAGAGAGGTTATTCGAGCAAATGAAAGGGTGTCTTATAATCTCCACTTATGCAAACATGTCCACTGTAAAGTGTCTACTTTTCGCATTAGGCTTTATAACCGATAAACTTCCTTCTTCTGTCCAAAATTACTTTCACCTCTTACATATAAATATTGCATATATTTATAATTCTGCTTTCCAACCTCAACTGTAAATTGCAGAACTAAATTCCAACTTTAAGTTAGATGGGGACTAACAGTGATGTGAGACTTCATTAAAGCCTTGCTTTACTTCTTATTCGGGTCCCTTAACTTTGTCCTACCCTTTTTCTTTAGCTTCGTGAAGAGAACTTACATAGAATCAATTTGCCATCACGGTGTGACATATCAATTCAATAACAAAATATTATGTGTATATTTTCACATGACATTTTATTATTGCATGCAATGGTGAAATCATTTCATGCAAGTTTTTCTTCTAAAAATGACTTGTTTGGTACCTAAGATTGGATTAGATTGGATTGAATTATAAGAGTCTAGGAATACTGAAGTATGAATTGAAAGTGAAGGTGAAGTATTTTTTCAGTTTGGGGGAGTATTTATGGGCATTGAGATAGATAAATTCTCTTCACAAGTATTTCAAATGACCCTTCGTATGGTTTCTCTCCTTACATAATAGGACTTTGACACAATGCACGTTGTTTTTTATTGAATTTTTGGTGAAAGTTGAGTTTAATTAGTGTATTACCCTATCTCACTCAATACATGAGTACAAATCTATCTCACTTATCATGTAAACATCATATTATCGGGTGATGAGATATACGTCGGATCACATGTAAGACTCGCCCTATTTTGAGGTAAAGCATAGTGGCTAGATTTACTTGCTAAGTTGCATTACTTTGAGAAATATGACTTGTCACTTTTCTTGTGCGGGAGGAGTACTGGTGTTTTGTATTTGTGTGAAAGAAATCGGGAAGGTGGCCAGACTATTAAAGGCATGGAGGAATGGGGGGCTCTGACATTTGCATAATCTGGTGACGTAGAACTTGATCTGTCCCTACTGTCCTTATGGACAAGTCTGAAGAGCATCGAATTCGGAACATGGAAAAGGTTGATTTTGGATGTCAAAGCACTTGTTTCTTCTCCTCTTTTTGCTTTTCTTCTTTTTGCCATTAACAATCATTTTGATGCTCAAACTTCTTTTGATTATCACAAACATGCTCTGCATGTGTAAGTGGAATGGAAGGAATTCGAATCAAATCATAGATCGAAAGTATGATTTATTTTCCTTTACATAAGATATCAATACCGCGTGTAATTTCATATTATTCTTCATTCTTGCACTTATCAAGCAGAGAAACAAGTACGGTTTATGTTTTGATACAGATGTTATCGTTAAATTTGAGATGACTGAAAATCTATAAAGGGTACTCTTCAAAATTTCGCATTAGCGCTTTTCAAAAATTAAAAAATTAAAAAGAGAAGGAAAAGGTGGACACACGCAACCAGAGATAAAAATAGAAATGGGAAGAAAGGGTGGGACCAGGATCCTCTCCTGAGCTGAGGATGAGGATCCTCCTCATCAAGGGATGTGAGTCGTTGGATAAAAATCTAACGGTTACAATTATTATAATTTTAAAATGACCTTCCTGTTTGTAACCGTTGAATTTTCATCCAACGGCCCACACGCATTGATGAGGAAGATCCTCATCCTTAGCTCAGGAGAGGATCCTGGTCCGAAAGGGCGAGCATCTATAAAAAGAAGGGAATATATGAGTAGTATTGCCGATCCAAGGCCCCAAATCTTGGCGCCAAAATCCAAGTCATTCTCCCTCTTCCCTCCCTCCCTTCTGGAGCACGTTATCCCCTGCTCTCGGCTGCAATCCCACCGTGGACCCCACCCATGTTAGTAGCGGTTCACCACCTTCGGAAACAATTTCTCAATGTCTCAATGCAACGATCACCCCTCACTTTCACACACCTACAATAATACAGAAATTGACATGCATTGTGCTTGATTTTGTGTTAAATTTTTTGTTAATTCTAAGTATTTATACCTTTTTTTATAGTCTTTTTTAAAGTTTTCTTATTTTTTATTCTATTGTTTCTATGGGCAATAAACATTTTTAAATTTTCAACCAACCGCAAGAAAAAATTGAAGATATAGAAAAGAGAAATGCTAAGGAAATTCTCTAAAAATAAGACTTTCCATTAATTTTTTGTCACCTCACAGCTTAATATTAAACTTCGTTGCAATATTATAAAATATTATGTGAAAAACATGAGATAACAGATAGTCTCAATTTTATAGAATCTCGTTAACATTTCTCTATTGAAAAACAGCTTTAACCCTACCATCTAATTTGTAAGATTTAAAAATAATAATTCAGTTAGTTTTCCTATTACCATCTAGTTTTGAATGCACATTAAATTTTTTAAGTAACACCGCGACGATATAACAAACGAGCACTAGACATTTGTCCGTCTACGAAAGCGGTCAGCTACTTCCCCGGTCATCACCTCCCCCTCTCTGCTATTTATTTCTTTCTTTAATTATCTCCGTCTTTGCTTATGTCACAAGAGTTTCCTCGGGTTCTTTATCTCTCTCTCTCTCTCTCTCTCTATATTTCTGTGAGTCCCGTCTCTGAAGTCTCTGACTGATCGGTATAAACAGGACATGAACTCTTCCCACATTTAAAGCGCAATCTTTCCTCTTCCCCTTTCCCTTTCACTGAGAATACAGAAAGAAAACCAAATCCAAACCTCTTTTCCATCTCTCTCTCTCTCCTTTCATCTTTTCCCTCTCACTTTCCCGCTGGTTTCCATTTTATGCCCTGCCTCCTCCTCCTCCGTTTTCATCACTCAAAAGGGAAGAAAAAAGAACCCATCTTTTTTTTTATTCCACCCTTTATTCCCTGCTATATTTATCTCACCGATTCCGCTGCAATTTCCCAGAGAGAAATGGGATTTTCCGGGAAATCTCAGCCGGTGGATCACATGGGTTTCGATTCCGACCCTAAAAAATCATGGGTCGTCGCCGGAATCTCACTACGTGCGCCGTTAAAGCCGTTGTATACAAATCCGGTAGAGCAAGTTGACGGGGAAGAGTGCTCGACGACTCCCACGGCGGAAGAAGCCAGGATTCCGGCGAGGCTGACGTGTCCGCCTCCTCCCAGAAAACGTAAAGCTGCTGCTGCTTCGAAATGCAAATTTAATGGTGCTCGGGAGTTCTTCACTCCTCCAGATTTAGAAACCGTGTTTATACGACGCCATGTTGAAAGGGCCAACTGACTTTTGAAAGTTTCGAATTTAAGATGCACTTCTGGCTCCAATTTCTTTGCCTTTTTTTAGTTTTTGTTGCATTTTTTTTTTAGTCTGAAGTGATGGTCTTTAGGATCTTTGTATTCGGAAGGTAGCTAGGAGATCATTATGTATAGGGTAATTATTATAAATAAATAAAACTTCAGATCTTAGCTTAATTGCTTCATGAATTTTTGCTCTGTTTCTGCTCTGTGAGATTGCTGAAATTTCTTGCTTTTGCTCCTCTTCTTTTTTTGGGCTTTTCACTCAGATCAAACTTGGTGCAAAAAGAAAGACGCAATGATTGATTAGCTGACCTAACTCACATCAACATTACGTTTTTCTTAGTCCTCGTCCAATTGTGATCTCTTTTGCTTTAATAATTCTCTGTTCATGATCATGCGTAGGACTGGCGAGTGACAAATTCCAAGTCGAATCTTGGTAAGCATCCAAAAAAGTCGTCAAACGCCGAATCTACTGGGCAAGAAATCCCTTTCAATGGATTACACGAAGTGGGACTGTTTTTAGACTTGCATGCTAAAATGACGGTATTTTAAACCTATCACAATGTGTCTTAACTTGTTCACATTTCATCACTTAATTAATTTGAGACACCATAATCTCTAACTCTCTCACGCTTTGCATCGCTATTTTACATAGAGTTAAATAATTGATTTGTAAAACCATCATCTTAGCAGCCCTTTTCCTGTTCGACTAGACTGACCGACTGAAGGAAGCCCCACAGAACCCCTTGAGCCATGGCCCCAGGCGGCTGAGAAAGCCTTTCATCTCTGCCATGATACCATCATCGTATATGTTACTTAAGTCTTGAGAGTCTGGTCATAGTGTCCCACACGCCATGAGTGGTGACCCCCCACCCACCTCGGACTCATAGCTCAAGTCATGCCCAGATGAAAAAGGACAAATCACATGTGGGGTGGGAGGGGAGGATTTGGAATCCTATGTGAGTTTGAATGGCCTTATTTTGCACTTTCTTTCAAACTTAAAGTTTTGGAGTACCAATAATTGAGGATCCCACTTATCTTTGCAGTTTGTAGTTTACTTTGATTAAAGTTTCCGTTTTGCAATAGACTATGGAATGTTCATGGAAAACGCGAAGCCTAGTTGTTTATAGGAAACTTTAATGAAGACTTCCGGTATTATTCATTTTAACAAAAAATCACATTTTTATACTAAAAAGTCAATCATGATACTATTCACTTTACCCTTTATTTTATTCTTATTGTTAAAACTCAAAGTTTTCAAGTCATTTTCATTAGTTTTTCTTTGTTTATATACTCATGGCAGAGTTTATATATTATATACAATTTGGCTCGGTTTAGTTCGCTCTTAAAAATATGACGTGTTGGAAAAAACTCACTTTGAGTTCAATTTTTTTTTTTTTTTTAAAAAGTTTGTCTTCTCATACTTGTTAATTTCCTCAATTTTAGGTTGTAACAAGTACTTAAGAGCGAAACTCTAACACTATGTTTGAACGAGAGAAATAAACTTGAAATTTTGGTAAAAGTCAGAATTTATAAATTGACATGCACCAGTTCCTTTGTTTGGATTCATAAACATAGAAATTTAGAATTTCCGCATGGAAAAAAAAACTTGGAATTTGGGACCTCCAATTCCCAAGTTCAAATTCCATGTAAATATGTGTCATTTCCCAATTTCTATGATTGAGAGTTTAAAAATAACAAATTCCGTATTCAATTTCAATGTTCTTTTAGATTAACTAAACAAAAAAATTTACAAATTCTAGAAAACAAAATCTTGTCATTTCAATTTCCGTCATTTTAAAATTCCTTAGTAATCTTAAATTTATTCATCCAAACATAGTGTAAATGACCATTATCAACTCAATCAACGTTAACAAAAATTGGGCACAATAAGTTTTTCTCAACACGTCTAGTTTTTAAAGAGAAGACTTACATGAAACGACTTCATTGCGACTATAACTTCTCGGTCTAATAATACAATGTCAGGTTTAACTTTTTTCTTCACTCAACATTGCATTATTGGATCAAAATATCATAGTAATTGTGAATTCATTTCATATAAATCATTCACATCTTCAATACGTCTTGCGTAGATAATCTAATATATGTATATCCAAAAATTCTATAATACTTCAAAATATAGGTCGGCCTTTTAGACTTTTACATTTTGCCCTTTATATTTTTTAATATAGACCTAACCGTTAAAAAACTTAAAATATCTTATACTTCGAAGTACCATTAAAAATCGGATGCATGATATATATCGAGAATATCCTATAAAAGAATAAGTGAAAATGGTGGTTCCGTTCAGTTCACCTGACCTAGATTTCTTGTGGTATATTAAACGAAGGTTCTTGGGATCGAGCAGTCTCTCGTACAATAAGGTTGCAACGTCTGGCCCGGACAGCAAATGGTAATATTTGCAGGTATCTAGGCATGCTATTGCTACTTTGCTAGGGTTAATTTCTTAATATTATTGGATAATTAGATTCCATATTATTTTGCTAATCCACATTATTGGGGATCACGTGGATGAGGCGATCAAGACTACGTATACAAATCCAAGTAACAAAAAAAAAGCATAAGAAATTGCAAATTTGCAAATAAACCTTTGGTTGTGTTTAGTTCTATGATTGAAAAACGACAAGGGAACAAAGAGTTTTTAATCTGTGGTTATGCTAGAATATGTCATACCACCACCAAATACGGGTTTGGATTACCACATTATGCTTAGCTTAATCCACATAGTGATTAATAATTGGTAATACACTCAACTAATCACGATTTCACATAGTACAAAATTTCAGTCTAGTCATTCCAGTCTAATCATGATTTTCAAATAAATTTTCTCTTTTAGTGAATGCATGAGTACTGTAACTAAAGAGAGATTCTCTTGTATAATCAAGATTCAGTTTTAATAAGATCATCGTTTAATAACAATTTGACACGTGTTAAAAAAAATACATTTATCCATCTAATAAATGACAAAGACGTGATAAATTGGTGATACTAAATAATGTCTCCTAACTAAAGCACCACCATATTAAAGATACGTTTGTGTTGTAACATACATGTGGATGCCCACGTATTGAAAGGAGAAGAAAAAACAAGTTGCATTTTCATCCATTGAAGACTTTTGCTCCACACCATTGAATGCTAATATCGCTATATATGTGAGACTAAGAGGGCCACTCGAGGCCATAAAATAGCGAGCTACTTTAGTGAGATTATATACACTAAAAAAGGTGTTATTTTATTCTCTTATTATTTCATATAATGAAATAAATTATTGTCGCAGTTCTGACAATGTAAACATACTTGCTAAATCTCATAAATATTATATCTTATTTACTGTATATGCTGCTACACATATATTACCTATTTTACAACAATTTGCATGTTTGAAGTGTTTCCTCATACATGCATATATATATATATATATATATATATATATATATATATATATATATATATATATATATATATATATAAAGCCTTTAAGGAAATGGATTCTCATTTTTTTTATAAAATTGGGGATTAATTGTGGGGCCTATACCATGTCGAATTTTAACGATCTGAAACCATTTATTTTGAAAGTTGCATCTCATAGATCATTCTTGCAAAATATTAGTCAAATTAGAAATATTTAAGACATCTAATGGGTTAAAAAAAATTAACGAATACTTTATTATATAAGAAATAATAAAATTTTATCTTGATCATTAAATAGGCAAATAATCTCGGATTGAATTGAATTTTTGTAAAGATGATTTATGAATCGAGACTTACAATATACACGGCTTGGATCATTGAAGTTCGATGTAGAATGGATCCTACACTTAATCCCTATTTTTTGAAAATAAAAATAAAAATCCATTTACATAAAGGACATATATATATATATATATATATATATATATATCTCTCTCTCTCTCTCCAGGTGTCCACCACTCCATGAACATTGAACTGGAAAGCTCGAAATCTTGTTTTATTTTCTCGTGGGGGCAACATGTTACTATGAGTAGTGCAAGCAATCCATTTCCTCGAACTTTACACCTAGTTTTGTGATGAACTGAAGTGTGATTAACATGCCACATTTTGTCATTTGCATATATACAAAATTAGAAAGAAACTGATCAGCGATTGGGCGGCATGTGGGGGGCCATTTTACCGACAGTGGGAGGGTTCATGCTTCAAAAATCTATGCAACCACTTTGGTAGTGGGGTTTTGGGAGCCACCGCCATGCACCACCATACAAAATATGGAATGCTCGTGGCAGTGCCTCCACCGCCAAGTTTGACTGTCTCCCCACGTCAATTCAAGTCTTTGGTCCGACTTTGAATATTATGAGTCAATACTTGTTACTATGTTGTTGGAGCTCAACCAAGTTTGAATCACCATTAAGTAGTAACAATACCCCACCTTCCACCAAAGGAAATTAAATCAGAAAGTGTCTAATGGTAGATTTCTAGACACAACGTTACAGTTTAATAATATTTTTCTTTATTTTCAAATGCGAGGTTTTAAATTTAATTATCATGAATAGTGAGTTCAATATCTAGTTATGGCTTAATTATTTTGTAATTTAGTCTAAATTTTTTCCTAATATAATTGTAAAGAAAAAGTGGCTTATTCAAACGAGAATATCTTGCATTGGTCATTCCAAACAAACACTAAGCGGGTTGTTGAACTTTCAAATTATTAGAGAGACTAAACCATGATAAGTAGGAAACTAAAACACAAGTCTTCATTCTTTTGACTTTGTTCGATCAACTAAGTTTTAATCTAGTGTTCCTCACAATGATGGAAGAAGTCTCAAGTTCAATTTCTTCCTCTAATGCTATAAAAAGAAAATGGCAATAGTAAGAATTATCACTTTTTAACATTTGGTTGCAGAAATAATCACGTGTCGTTGCGTCATCGTTGTGTGGTCGTTATCAAATAATGATCATTTCTACAATCAAATGTCAAGAAATGATCATTCATGCTAATTGCCAAAAGAAAATTGTTCCAAAACAAAATAAAACCCTAATTGGAAAAGTGGGATTAGGATAGTGGCTAAGTGGGCCGCCGTTGAATGAATTTTGCTTATTCCATGATGTCCATTTCAAACACTGTGGGCCTGCTTGAACTCAAGCTCAAACTCAAATAGTCACCAACCAATCGTCAGAGTGCACTACAGATT